AACAGCTCAAATCTCTAAACTTTGGTCTCAAGACGTTAGTATTGATGTTTTCACAGTGTATCATTACTGTAACACATGATAAACATGTTGAACGACTACACAGTTTTGCTTGTCTTTTGGTGCATTACCAAAATGGCTGGCACTCATCATGTACCATGTTATATGCTAATTTTAGACCAAATCGGGGTAAAACCAATTTTGCTCAAAAACTCAAATTTATCAACGTAGATCAAAAAACCGATTAGTCCGCGTTAGTAGGCTCACAGAAAGGTGTCCAGAAACTAASTTTCAAGGAATTTGAATTTTTCACTGTGGCCGGCCTATGCTCGATATTTCTGGACAGTCGCTCTTAATTTTGTTCAAATGTTTTTATTTCTAATTTTCTATCATTTTCGTTGCGCTTTATTGGCCTAGTTTTACTACAATTGTAGTATTAGTAATAGCCGTCAGAATGACGTTARCCGCGCGACTACACTGTTTTACTATTTAATTTTTATTGTGCTTGTTTTTTAGCAAATCGCACATGATAATATTCAAGCTAACACAAAATGACCGCTGAAATACTAAAAAAAATATATTCTTCTCTTGTTTAAATCGCAATAAAAACACGCCACAGGTAAATGAAAACAAAATACAGAGAAATGTCTAGGATTATAAGCCAATGTGAAGTGCCAAAATAAACTTGCCAGGGATTTTTTGGAACGCCCTGAATAAATGAAAACTGAAATGTAATGGCGTCGCAATTAAAAATTACCCTCCCCTCCCATTGGATTATATTGACATTCCTCGTTTTGCAAGGGAGGTCACACAGTCGGAACAAGAAAAGCTTTACTTTCGAGTGGTATTTCACTCGATCTTTATTTTTAGAAAATCCTTTTAGATTTGCAAATGTATTGTACTGGAGGCTGTTTCAATTGCTTCAGTACTCCAGCGTAAAACCACTGAAAATACCTCAAATATCGGAGATAATCTTGCGTGACCGCATAATYACCGAGGCAAKATGGCGGCCTACAGCCAAGCCTCTGCTCCTCCACCGTACTCTGAAGTCCTTACTTCGACCAACCCGACCTCTTTTACAAGCTCAATTCCAGCAACCCAAGTTGAACTACATGTATCATGCAGGTATGTGTTAGAATTTRTAAGGTTAACTTCGTTTTATCCYACAGAAAACTTAGTTTCAACTTCCAATTTCAGCTCATTGAAGCGTAATTGTAAACAAGTTAAMATGTTATTTYATGGCTTTTTTGACTCCTAAAACATTTTAATTCTAAAGTTGTAGCTCGAGGGRCTMCTTTTAAGACACAGTTTGATAGGTAAATATCAAGGAATCAGGACTTTGGAATATTACGCTGAATATTATTTCTGAATTTCACCACACTTTCGAACTCTCGTGTGAATTAAATTATATTACAAATTGTAACTCATTGTTCAGTCTTTCGTACTTCCAGAGTCATTTCAATTACCCTTTTAGAAATTCATTGTAATGCTTTTTCTTTCAGAAATCTTGCAGACCTCGATGTTTTTTCCAAATCAGATCCAAGTAAGATTAATTTTTACAAATATTTTAGATAACATTATGTAAGTTATATGAAAAGGTATAATCTGTGGCTCACTGGCGCTAAAGTTCTGTTTTTTTAGCGTTGTTTTTAGTATTTCAAAATCAGGTTTTTATTGTTACTGTAAAGTTTATGTCATTCTGCCACCTTTTGATAGAATGGATGATGTAACTTTTCTAAAAATAGAAAAACTTATTTATGATTAATTAATATAAAACCACATCGGAAAATAATATAAAATAGCAATAATGAAAATACTAGTAATAAAGAATGGTCATAGCAATTTTTTCATATTTTTTGTTGATTGAATGGGTTTTTGAAGAAAAAAAAGCAAGGACTTCTCTTTCTAGGCCTTAGTTTCTTAATTTGCAGGACTTTGCATGTGCTTAAATGCCCTAATTCATATGCTCTTGAATATTATCACTACATGTAAACAAAACTGAAATGTTATTGTAGACTTGATATAAATTTTAGTAATGTTTGGCTGAACATAGATTAAATTATTCATTCTAGTGGTTGTAATGTTTGTTCAGGCATTGGGGACGAAGGAATGGAGAGAGGTAGGTGAATTACACAGGATACCCAAACTCATAAATGAAATGCTTGTGTRCCGCAGAGAGCCCCACTCCCCTCCCCTGACTCTCTTTACTATGTCTATTCAATGCTTCTGAATTCTTTTGATAAATCTTATCAGGAAACTTTAATTGTCACTCGTGTAGACTTCAAACTTAGTGTTGCAGGGATCATGGATGACTTACTTAATATTCATTCACAAAAGTACCCTGCGAACAGAGTGTATTTCCTTACCTCAATAAAAATTCGCGAAGGAAAATAATTTTATTTTCTAATTTTATTTTCCTTCGGAAATTTCTATTGAGGTAAGGAGGACATACACTGACTGTTCGCAGGGTATCACAAAAGATATTTTTGATGGCAAATGATATAGCGGCAAGTATGTGTCTTGTGCATGGCTTGGCTGCATATTCTATAGGTCTGTACTTTGATGTATTTTCAAATTTTATTTTTTTCTAGCATGGAAGAACAGAAGTCATCATGAACAATCTCAACCCTGACTTTGTAAAGAAATTCACCATAAATTATTTCTTTGAGGAGGTGCAGAAATTAAAATTTCAAGTGTGAGTTTATTCATYTCCTGCATACTGATTAAACTATTAAATTACTTCACGCTTCCCTTGAAACATTGTATGTCACTCAGATCAGGACAATGGGACGGGGTTTCAATTCGACTATTAAACTGTGCATGCATTCATAATTGAACTAAGTTTTTTTCAAGAAAAAGAACTTTAATAATTTAAAAATTGATTAAACAATTTTGCCCTAGTTCATTATGACGTCACATCAAATCATTCTATTGTTTTAACGCTAAGGATTATGGTCGCCAGAGGGGATCAGAGTGACTGCAAATCAAATAAAAAGTACATTGGCAATCATTTGTGATATTATATCAACATATTATTCATTGAAGTTCTTCTTTAGGAAACTGTATAAATGGGTCCCAATTTCCACTGTTTTTGAGCATTGTTTTCCTATGTAAACATACTGTGACATCATAGAGTACAAACRCTAAAACTGTGCAACATAAATACCACTAAATACTGCTAAATTATGCTAATTCTATTGTCTTCTATTGTTTAATTAACACTATTTTGTAGTAAATAGTAGAAAGTGTTGCACACATTAAATGTTTGTACTCTAATTAAATAGTAAGCGTAAAAACAAATGGAAAAAAATCTCAGAACAATGATTTGGCAGTCAGGTGGTATGATTAGATTTTCTGTGTGTCAATTTAAGAAGCTAATTTTGTACTTTTATAATGTTTTTTTAGGTATGATATAGACAAAAAATCGGCAAGACTGCAGGATCATGTAAGTGATTATATATACAAGGAGTGTCATGATTTTGATAATTATCATATCCTATTAATTAATCATTATAAAGTTTATAAAGAATCATTATTAATTAATATTATATGTGATGTCAGGACTTTAAAGGTTAACAGTTAAAAAATGTGCACGTTTATATTTGAAATCTTAAATACCCCCTTGAAGGGAAGTTAGGACAGTTGAAT